CTTGAAGCAAAGTTGTTTACAAATTAGTTTAATCTATTGGAAGAGCATGACACATATTTGAATAATGACCAATAAGGTACTTTGATTACCTCAAAAGTCAAATAATCATTAGTCAAATTAAACACACGCTTGTTCAACCATGAAAGCCGCTTATGAAATCTTTAAGTTTGTAGTAAAACTTGCATCCCACATTATGCTGTATTCCAATTTGGTAAGAATATCTATTCTGTATTCCACAAATATATATCACCCCACTTTAAGTTCATTGACTTATAGCTTCACCGTTTGTTGACCTTTTTCTAAACTAGAAATCAATAATGTACCAAAAATAAATAATAATATCTGTATACATTTATTTAACTCACCTAATCTTTGAAAGAGGACACATATGAAACGAATTACAGCTAAACATGAATATTCATAAACCTTATTAGCTCATGTTGACTACTACTTCGTATATCTTAATCTAATTACATCCAATGCAAATTGACTAATCTTGTTGAAAGTAGTTGATTAATTAAATATGGGTGATGATTTATAAGATTTCCATCTATGAATTCTGACTTTTGAAAGTTAAGCCTAACCACTTTTGTCCCATTTCATCATTTCATATCCATCAAGTGACGAATTGAGGATACAATTTAATTGGATACTCGTTATATTTATGTGAGAGAATTTATAGTATTCTCTACTCCGTATGAAGTATCATGCATTAAAATTAACCATAATCCATAATATCTGACTTGATGCATAATTTATTATATTTTCATCCTACACCCTTTATTAGCGTCATACTGCAATATTGCATCATTGACACTTTGAAATGGAACAAAGTTGAACATTGACCATAGACTAACTTTCATCTTTCTTTATTCCCAAGACTTAATAATGAATAATTTAATTGTTTTCAATGTAAAATTAAATGCAATAAATTATTGTTGAGTAGCTTGGATGGTAATGCTTTAGTCGGGTAGCGTTCAAGTAACCACAAAAATCGAATCTCGTTTACATCATTATTATTATATCCAAATTTAAATTAGCAAAGTATGTAGGAAATTAAAAGGGTAATAAGAACATGAAAAAGAAACTAAAAGAGCACGGTAAGAAAACAAAAATATGCACTCGGACTCATAAGACCTAAATTAAGCTATGTACCTAAGCCAATATTACCTTCGTTTTTTTTAGTTGACACGTTTTGACTTTGTGCACTATTCATATTACGTACTTTGACTTTGTTTTATGATTTAGCGTTAAATAAATACATAGTCATGTGGGATCTTGTTAGATTCATCTCAATATCTATATTCCAAATATCGAAATTTCATAATTTTTGCTAATACGTAACTAAAGATATTTACATTTAAAAGTATGCGTTGGTAAACGTGCCTAAATGAAATGTGTCAACTAATAACAAAATAGAGGAAGTATATCTGTGCATAAATTATGTATGTGAAATCATTTGAGTAATTAACGTATATTGACAACATTACAGCAAATGCTAAGCTAGCTACATAATTTTTGACAAGTTGTTTTTTTTTTTTTTTTTTTTTTTTTGATGTTTTACCATCTTTCATCCCCTAACCAATTGTCCTTCTCCTTTGGACCTGTTGGTCCTTCTTCTTTGGAGAGTTCCGCGGGCAACTTGCCAATTAAGTTAGTGACTGAACCCCGTAGCACTCGTGGAAGTCGTTTGATTATCTTGTCAAACTCTTTCCTCGAATCATATACGATCTTTGGTCCCCATTCTCTCATAAACTGTAGCCAACAAGGCTCGGTAACATCATTTCCTAGATACTCAGCAGCAACAATCTGATACTGAGTACTAGAATCCAGATAAAAGTTGCTTCTACTACAATCATTTCTTATACCAATACCAAGACTTGAGGAGCCTTGGAGATAAGTCCCTGGATGAGGGAAGCTAGCATGGCCGCTCCTCGATGAGTAGAGAATAGCTCGGTTTCCCTCTATGAACTCCAAATCACAAGCACTTATCCACTGACCACCACTGTGCTGGGAGAAGTACACTCTATGAAGTTCACTAGTAAAGTTGCTTATCCTAAGAGTAAAATGTTCCCAATCACCAATATGCTCGCCTGTCTTTTTTAAGGGAACGTTAGTTGGTCCAACCTTTAGGGTGGCTGGTCCATTGAAAGGCGAAAACACCCACATTGCTATGTCAGTGAAAGTACCTCCTAAAGCCGGTTTCACATGAGCATAAAGTTCGGCACTTTCAAGGTCTCCATGCTTGAGAACTTTTCTTCGATCATCATAAGGAATATCTATCCAGAATTTTCCATCATTTGTTCCACCAAAAGGCAGAATAGAGCCATCAGCACTGATGGGTTCGCCGGTGGACTGCCCTGATTTGAACAATAAGGCTCCATTGACGAAGAACCATGAGACAGAAGATGGAAAGTAGACCTCTTTAGGATGAAAGAAAATGATTGGACCATAGTGATGAATTAGAGTATGGATTTGATCAATAGTTGGCATTCCTTGCTGCCATTTTGAGTTCTTGTTCTTTAAACAAACAATAGGCATTTCTTCTCCTGCAGTCCACAGGGTACTACTACAGAAGAAGGTTCCTGCCGAGACACCTTTCCCTAGCATGCCTCGATTACAAGGCCTAGTCTCGAAAACTTTGAGAGAGATCTTTCGGAATTTAGAAAATATGTCAAGCAATAAACCACAAGTCTCAGAATCATCAACAAGGTCCTCTCTGCACACCTTACTTCATCCAACTCAGGTTTTCCCGGCAGAGTTGACACAACAAAGCCTAGGACTCTATAACTGGAAGGAGGAATGGGAAGCCAAAAGTGACCAGGTTGATCACGAATCCCCATCCCATCATCCGAAACCCAAACTAAACTATAGTCAAGAGGCATCATAAGAGCTGGTGAGTAGATGGAATCAGAGTCACTGCTACGATTATGTGACACAGAATCCTTAGCCACAAGAACATAGACATTCAAAGGCTTGCCGTTCGGTTGGCAGTAATGACCAAGGCTGAAAAATCCTTCAGGTAAGCCTAAAGGCTTATAGAACGAAACACCTTTTCGCTTGTCATGTGAGAGATGAGAGCCCCAAACAAACTCAAACCTGGTTATTTCTGCAACTTCTAGCTCCCCTAGATTAATTGTTCCAGTGGCAAATCCTCGGCCTAGTAAAAAAAAATCAACGATTGATGTCAAATCGACACTCTAGTATGAGCCAGATTCTAACAAGAACAATAGTTAATTCACATCAAATTGATAAGAATACTATGAACTGATCATTTCTATCTAGTTCTCTCAAATCCTGTTTTCCTTACTATGCTGACTTTTGGCATTAATGACATTTTAATCTCCACCAGTTCAATCGTTAGTGAAAAATAGATAATTTCTAAACCACAATGAGTCTCGAAATTCACATTACTAACCTAGTATACAAAACTACTCGTAGCGTGCGTACTTTCATCCTTGTTAAATTAATTTACAACATCTAATACTCTAACAATCCGTTTGGTAGACACGTGGTATAAAATGGTAGTAGTGGTAATGAATTTTATACATACAATGATAGTCTAATAATGACTATATACACAATAATGTTTGTACATTCCACCCAAGTCCGTAAATTTTCATTATCATCTATTACCACTTTAAAAGATGGTATCTGGTTGGAGATTTAAAAATTACTTTGTCATGGAGTGCCAAGATATTGCGACGAAAATTTCTTACAAAATCAAATATATTCAAAGTATCATTCATTAAAGTCTACCAAATTTGTCCAAAATTAAAAGTTACAATTAAATTTCACACTTTCAACATCAACAAAAGTGCTCAATTATACAAAATTAGTTATAGAAGAAGACTAAACATAAAATTTACACGAGAATTTAATTCATGAAAAAGAGTAACAAAGTTGAGAAACAAACCTTGAGGCCAGGTAGGCAATGGAGCTGGCAATAAGAAACTAGTGAAAGAAGGAGAAAGATTGATTGAATAATTCCCATTCATGCGCTGACATCCAAACATCTTCACAAATTTATTCTTCAAGACTTCACCTTTAGATCAAACCCCATTTTTCCTACGCATTTTAGGTTCTAAATTTTTTATTTTACGCTACTTTTTTAGGAGTTTATTGAATTATTGTAGGAAATTCCATGAATTTGGAATGTAGGGTTTATATTTCTACGCATTGAATTATATTTCTTTTCTCCCATAGTCTCACCTAAACCCACTACTATTTTTTTATTATATCTTTTCTCTCACATTCATTATTTTTTAATAAACTATTATCCCCACTATCTTTCTTTTATAATTTTTTAATACATAAACTATCTCATTTACCTCTTATTTTATTTTAAGTCAAGCCTAAAACTATGCGTCGGTCAAACTGTAACATTTATTAAAACATGGAAGGAGTAATCTCTTTCATCTTTCTTTCATCTACATCGGTATTCCTTCTTGTACCACCTATGTTATGAAAGTTGGAGATAACAATTCCCTCAAAAAAAAAAAAAAAAAAATTTCGAGATAACACCTCGAGATTATTCTCTCGGAATGGTTTGTTAAAGTTTAGAAAAGGAAAAAATTCAATAATTACACAAAATTGTTATCCCTATAGCATACGAAAGTAGATAAAGAAAATAGATTCTAGAACGTAGAAATTTCACGTTGCGCATCCAAGATCGTACAAATTTATATGGCGCATCTGAGACCATGAAATGGCTTGCTGCCACCACAGTATGTTGAGCTAGGGCAGCTCATAAACCTAGGTGCACATTGCCAACACATATGGGTCATAAAATCATATACCTAGGTGCACATTGCCAACATGGGTGCTAGTCTGCTAGATGCATTCGATTTTGCCACAAATAAGGATGGATGACAACCATACTTTCTGTGATTATTACCATAATCGTGTGATACTTCATACTATTATAACATTGGTTTTCATATAAAAAGTTGGTATGAAATTTACTTAGTACATCAAGCCTCTAACAAAAGAAGAAAACCTTACTAGTACAAGAAGTGCTCTTTATTGAAATCCCAGACAATAGTTTACACCCTTGCATGATTACAATGGCGTTTTCATGAGTTGCCAAATCAAGATAAGCTAATGTACAGGATTGACCAAAATCTATAGTACATTGGTCTTCATCAGAAAAGCAAAGAGACTGAAGCTAAATATCAAAGCCTACCCCATGAAAAGAATGATCACACGCACAACTGTATACAAACGGAGCCTATGCTTCCCTATTTACAGAGATTCATATAAATCACTTTAATACCCCAATCACTTAACTTAAGCTGCTAACCTAACAAAACTGAGCCACGGCTAGCTAAGTTCCCTAGCTCAAGTGGGAGACTCTGCTAGTAAGAGTGTATGCCACCAGCCACACGCCACGTTTTTCGCCACACAACCGTCAATCTTTACTTGAGATGGAATATTGCGATCAATTGCATCCCCCAATCCAAGCTACATAACATTATCAAGAAGTTAATTTAAGGAGTAAGAGATGGCCAGCGTTCATCCTATAGTAAACTACAATGACGAGATTTCTTACCTGTCCATACTTGTTCCAGCCCCAACAGAAAACTTTCCCGTCCTCTACAAAAAAAAAGCACAACATTAGAAATTATAATTCTCTGTAAATATAATAACTATTACTATACCACTAGAAACATATACTTATATATAACAGCCCCTTAGTCTTATAATATGTTCATTCCAAGATATAAATGCAGCATGGGTAGTTAAATGCATTAGGCAGCTTGACCAAGTCGCTCTTGACTGGCTATAACAGATGAAACAGTTTAAGATTAATGTTCAAGAAGTCTTTGTGAAGGGTATGCAAAAAGAGGCACTAGATCTTTACTGGTTTTGTCTAAATTGCAGCATTTTCCTACAGAAACCTATGCTACAATATAAAGAATGTTCCATAATTCACAACTTTCCAGTACCTTGAGAGCTATAAACATTGAATCGCTGACTATTGGCTAATGATTAAATGCAAAATGGCATGCGATAAGACTGACAGTAGCGATGCAAAAAGTAGACGCCAACTTAATAAATACCTGTAACTATGGCACTATGACGTGCCCCGCAAGATACTATTTTTGCATTAACACTTTCTATGCTTGGTGCATCCAACAGCCTTGGGAGAGTCTGAAAGAGACACATGCTATCATAAGAAACATGCTAAACAAACTGGTTCAGGAGAGATGTAAAATAGATACAAAATTTTGCAGTAAAGCATATCTGAAAGGAATGAATATAATAATGAACATAAGGAAATATATCATCTATCTGAAAAGGATATACCTCAGCTTGGTCAGAACCAGTTCCCAACTGCCCAAATTGATTCCCTCCAAAGGCATAAACATCGCCCTCCGTAGATTTACAGAGTGTGTGCCATAAGCCTGCCGCAGCTGCCTCAATTCGAATACCAAGCAACGAGGATACACAAGTAGGGCTTAGCACATCATCAGTGGCACCTTGCCCGCACTGCAACAGCACAGTAATGACTTGTCAAGAATGTCTCGAGAGAGGCAGTCAATTATTCCATTGACTTCCCTTCCCTCTAACAATAAAAACAAAGGTAAAGCAATAAAGTTAGAAGAATATAATCATCTGATCCCTTGCTAGAGAGTGCTTCATCTTGAACATCTACTTTGCTTTTTTCTCCACCAAATCTATTTACCTACATAATCATACAAACTGCAGTTGATGCAACAGATAATAAAAAAAAATGGAAGCAAAAGTTGATACGTTAAATGCCCTCATGAATTAATAAACAGTTGATAACCATTAACAAAATGACACATTAATTACCCATTTAAGATTACAGTTCTGTTCAGGCGAGGCTTAGCTAGTCAAAGTGGATTCAAAGCAACAGTTTCGAACAATAGTTTTTCAAGAATAAACAGGATCTCACTGTCAACTGGTGACTACAAGTTTGATAACAATGAAGGATCAATGCATCAATCTGGGTGTTGCAGATTCCAAAGTGGCTGCTCCATTCTTAATTTATTACCCCAAGCTTATTTTCTTATACTTCTCCAAATCATATTTGTCACTATCACTCAGAACTCTGCAACAATCACATCTAATACTTAAACCGAAATCTATTCTCTTTTTCATAGAGCATTTAATTCTACATGTTATTTATTCCACAACTACATTCTACACCAAACATGCTCATAGATGTACAAGAGCTTTGTAAGGTTACTATAGCTTCACTAATCAAAGCAATATCTTGACAGCTAAAATGAATTATCCAACTAATAAACCGTAATCTTTCTAGAGAAATTAAAGAATAGTATGCCCTACTACAAGAAGGCACCATAACAAGTGCTTGCAAAATAAGTAACTCTGATTTTCACCATGGCAACTTTCAAAGTTGAGCTTTTTTACACTAGGTACATATACATCACCCTGACATAAAATACAAATAATTCAAAGCTTCTGAAGCAATAATTCTACTCCAGTAACAAGCGTAAGGAAAAGAGTAGGCATCTCTTAACATACCTGTCCATAGAGGCCCCAACCAAAGGCTAGGATTGCTCCAGCATCTATTCAACATAACCGAAAAGAAATATTTAGTACATAGGAAGAAAACGATACTGTACAGGCAAACTGCTGCTCTCCACTGTGCAGTTAGGCTAGAAATAATGTTTAAAATGCTACAAGACTAGCTATGTAAATATGAAATCAGTAGTAAATATGAAATCAGTAGAACGCCTCCCTAATTGTGTCCACATTGACTTATACTCACATTGCATATTTATGATGACAATAATTGTGAAATATATGATCCTCACCTGTTATTGCCGCACTGTGTCGTCCCCCGCAGGCAATGCCCTTGATGTATGACCCAGGAACTCTAAATCCATGGCCATCCGAGTTTAAGCCACCTTGAGAAAACCCTGAATGTCCGTCCTTCCTATAAGAAGACTCTATACACGGTACAGGATGTGGAGATGATACCATTCGAATCCTTGAACCCAAGCCCAGTTGTCCTTCTCCTCCATAGCCCCAACCCCACACTTGTCCTACATCTGAAGCTTCAGGGAAATAAGACCCATCAGCAGTCTCATCACATTACATACGTTAAGGTATAATTTTGCAAAAGTAATAAGCTAACAACAAACGAAGCGTTTAACTAGTCAACTATCATTCTTTCCGGTTACATCAGTATATTTTTCTATGTTTAAAGACTGAAATCAATAAAAACAAGCTAATTTTTTCGATTTTGGTTTCTGCAATGACACCCGAAAATATAGAAGCAAGATCATGCTCGAATTTTACCTGACAATGCTAGAGTATGCCTGCCCCCAGCAGCAACAGTTGATATTCTCACTCCTGGGCTAAGTGTCACTAGACAGGGCAATGCTGAGAGAGTTTCTTCACTAGTTGTGGAGCTTTCAGCAGCTTGTTTAGCTGATGAAACTCGTCTTCGCTTCGCAGTTTCTTCTCCTGCTCCTTTATTGTCAAAACCGGTTCCTAACCCACTACCACTAGCATTTTTTGACCCTCGGGGGCTAACTGCCAAAAATCATCTATGAAGCAAATCTGATAATTCAACCAGCAAAAGAGCAGGATCTCTTTGTTACACTATAAATAATTGAACCATCCATAGTTACCTTGTTCGGGAAACATCGAACTTGATTTTTCAAGCGCCTCCTTCTCTAAACCTCCTCCAGAAGAAGAATCTCCGAAAACCTTCCCCGAGGGAACACACTCCTTCCATCCCCAAGTATAAACTTCTCCGCCGTCTGAATCCATGAAGGCCAAAACTTAAATGACAATACATTCAAATAGAGATCCAACACGAACCCGAAAACACAAAAGAATAGTAATACCTGTAATTGAAACACAATGTGCCCAACCAGCAGCTGCCCTAACAATGGGAGCTTCTGTAGGAAGTGGAAAAGCCTCTGGCGTTTCCTTGAAAAATACATTTTTACACCCATTTAATACAAATTCTTAATCTTAATAGAAAATGTAGCATTTAGGGCATCAGAAACTAGTGCACTACCCCATGTTTTCCAGAAGTCACATAACTCTGCCCTAAATCATCAGTAGACCCCCAAGTTATCAGCTTCCCAGTATCTGGATTCAAAACACAGCTCAACAGTTAAAATGCAACATACAATTACCCACATTGCAAAATTCAACATCAAAATATACAAATTAACTTTATTGCATCTCAAATCAAATCTCATTTTTTTTTTCTTAAAATTGCACATTTTTTGAATAAAATTAGCTGACCCAAATCAATTCTACGATTCCTCACTAACCCAGAAGCTAAATTCGATCATAAAAAAGTCAATTCATATTAACCCAAATGCTCAATCCAGCCATTTTCCCAGCATCTTTAATCACATTTTACCCAAAAGCAGAACAAATTCAAACTCAAAAACCCTAACTCTACAATCGAGATCAAAACCGAGTAGCTCAACATCATTAGAAAGCAGAATCACTCAACTTTAATCAAATCCACTAAGATCAAATTCCAACAAAGAAAAAAAAACAGAGAAAGAAAGAAGAGAGAGAAAAGTGCACCAGAAATGGCCATGGCGAAACCACAACCACCACCACAAACATCCTTCCAGAAAGTTCCAATCGACGGCGGAAGCTTCACAATAATCGGCGACTGTAACGGCGTTCTTTGCGGCAATGCTCCCGGTAAATACCCCCACATATACACCCTTCTTTCTCTCTCCTCCTCCCCCATTTCTACCTCCATTTGCATCTCACTTCCTCCTCCTTCTCCCTCCCCACCATTCATGGCACCCTTCTTCCTCCCCCCAAATCGATAACAGAGAAAATCCCAACTAAAAAAATTATAAACAGAATATCCAGCCAAAAATCAAATTAAAAAAAATCCCCAAAAAATTTAAGCAAAACCCCACCAAAAAAACCCAGCAAAAACCTCAGTTTCTTTGTAGTTTGCGATTTACAGGAGCAAAAATAAATATTTCAGAGGAGAGAGAAAGTGTGCCCTAATTTAGGAGAAATTGAAATTGGGGGTGGAGGAGACGAATAAAAAGGGGGGCGTATCATTATCGGAGCAACCCGTGTGCCACGTAGGATAGTGATGTGGAATATTATGACAAGTGGCAGATTCTGAGCCACAACATTGCTCGATCAATTCTGACCAGGAGTTTCCCAGAAGTTTCTGGAAGAGTGGGTGGAGTACGTTCTAGAGTTACTACTACTTTACTGACTGCCGACCTGCTTAGTTTAGCTAAGATCTTGACACGTGTTGAATGTTCACAAGCTGATTCCAATCATTTTTTTTGTTTAATGTGCTTTTTGTTGTGTACTTGTGTTATTTACTTTTTTTTTTCTTGAAAATTAGTTAATTTGTTAAATTGGAGGGCTCAGCAATCGACACGTGTAAAAGGATGGATTAATTGGTCAATTGGTGAGCTGGTGGTGGTGAATTAATGAGGAATAACACGAGAATTTGTAAATATTTTAATTATTAATATCGATATTCTGAGATGTGAAATGTATCATTGTTATTTATAATAGTAATATAAATAGTTAAAATTACACTAAAGTTTGTTATAATGGTATACTTTTGAAACTAATATATATACCACTAATTCACTAGATTGTGAAATTATGCCAAATGGTATAATAGTAGTTGTAAATTGTAATGGTATTAAAATGACTATAGTGGTATAATTAAACCCTGAAAATTAAAGTGAAAATATATAGTCCCATCACCTTTTTATTATATTAAGTTATTATTATGCCCCTGTTATGTATCAATAGGTACATAACTTTTCTCCCATTAAAATATCTCCTGAATTAATCTTGTTTTGAGGTAAGACTTCGATGTTATTTGGGGGTATAAGACTTTTGTGGGTGTGACACCTTACTCTTGCAAAGTTATTCTTTTGCCCAATTTGGTGATGCAAAAAAGTACAATGGAAACTCCATATCAATTAGATAATAAGCTTAATTTCATGGTCAATTAGTTAAATTTTAGTCGGGTACGTAATAGAGGATTAGAGATAAGATGTGGATATATATTAACATGCGGTGTTAAGGAGTGCTATAAAACTGATATTTACACAAAATCTATATAAGATATCTTTAAAATGCAAAGTAATTACAATTACGAGTATAACACAAAGTAAAAGGAAATTAAGTTCTTAAAAAAAACCATATACGTAGGAAAATTAACTTTAAATATAGTTGCATGCTCTTTGTTTTATATGAGTATCTCATTATTTTGTGTCATATTTTGAAATGAGTTCATATAAGCATTAAATACACACTAAAAAATTGTATATATTTAGGAAATCATAAAAATATAAACACTAATTAAACTGATTTACACGTGTTTTTGTCATGAATTCCTAATTTTATACAATTTTTAAGAGTGTATTTAATGCTTATATAGCATTAATTACCCTTTAATTAATATAGTCCCTCTATTCCTGAAAGTTCAACTCACTTTACATTTATAAAAATATCTATCTATAAGATTAGTATAGATAGATCTTAAATAGTCTATACTAAGTCAAATCATAAAAGTTAAAGGGAATTTACTAAGTCAAATACTTTTTAATAGATTAGTATAGATAGATATAGATAGATTGAAGTATTTGACAGATGTTCTTAAAGGGAATTTACTAAAAAAAACTAGTTGAGAAATGATGGTCCGAGACCTTACAATAACTTCTTATTGTGTAGGCGGATAAAATAATCAACATACCAGTCATAAGCAAGGTCATATCGTTCCAAAAGAGAAAAGAAATTTATATCAGAAGGTGGAGAAGTTTTTATCCCACCCCCACCAGCAATGAATCAAGATATGAGATAGTATATCAAACACCAAATCTTCATAATCATAGTAGTAAATTAAAGAACCAAACTAGCCATTAGTTTTAATGAGAAATGATATCATATGTACTTAGAAATCAACATAATTACTTGTACCAATAACATATCTCTCTCTCGATCGAATTAAATATTTTCTAAACCATTAGTTTTAATGAGAAATGATATCATATGTACTTAGAAATCAACATAATTACTTGTACCAATAACATATCTCTCTCGATCGATCGAATTAAATATTTTCTAAAAAAAAGACTCTGTATAAAATATAAAGATCTTAAATTTAGATATACTACCAGTAAAGCAACATAATTAAAAAATAACCACACAAATGAATCAAACTCATCATTGGGACTTTATAGACCTATTGATAGATTTAATGATTCCAAACCAACTTATATGACCCCAAGGGACACCCTACGCATTCACTTCAATTTTGCAAAAATTTTCAAATTGGCCAAAAGCGTGGATATATATTATTCAATTTTGGACAATTTTGACTTTTTTAGTCCCAAAAAGAAATAGATAGAGGTGTTTCCCGTAGACCCCAAGACACCCCAAAAATATATTTCGGTCGTTGAAACTATTTATTGTTGCCTTTAAGCTACTAATTTACCCGTTTACAACTTATGCACTCCCCATTAACTTGTTAGATGATTTAGAGTGTATGTGAGAATTGTGATCATTTGATTTATTTCGAATGATTTAGAGAGTTAGAGTGGAGCGCCCGCGCCAATGTTCAGCGCGCCCGCGCAAGGTTGGCGCGGCCCGCGACAAAACCGCGTCAAAATCGCGCCAACTCTCTTGAAAGATGCAAAATTCTGGCAGAATTGGGTAAGCGTGCCAGCGCGGCCTGGTGGCGCACCCGCGCCCCCTTGTGGCGCAGCCGCGCTGCTTCCTTTGTCTGCGGGTTTTTGCGGTTATTTTCTCGGCTTTTAATTGCTTTCGTTTTTTATCAAAATGATACAGAGTTTCAGATTACAGAATTCTTCCCAAAATTTTCTCCACATTTTCTCTCAAACTTCTTGCAAAATTTTGTGAGAAAAATTCTTGAAACTTAGTCATCTTTGTGAATTGTTCATTGTATTTCGTTTCTAGTGCTAAGAACGAAATTGGCTGTCAATTGTATCTCAAAGAGGATTTCCGGTTTAACCCAATCACCGTGTGGGGGAAATAAACCTCTTTAGGAAAGTGTATACACGCCTTTGACAGTGTATCAAGGTTTGAGACTCACGTGGTCATCGATATTCTCATGTTCATAGTTGATGTTGTCGGCTTGGAGGAAAGGCAAGTTTGATTCTTCACACTAGTGTAGTTTTTGTAAATTTTCAGTAATTTCATTGACAATTCTAATACTTGATTGTAATACATTGTTTTGTATTTGATATTTACAATTTTATTGTAATCATATATTTTAGGATTTGTTCCCACACATTGGTTTAGGTGATTTTCTTGATTGAAATCGCTGTAAATCCTAACAATCTAAAGAGGTTTAATTTAGAATTTATCAAGTATGTCTAGTGTGAAGGAATTAACAACAAATTTTTTCAAACTCAAGAAGTTTGATGGTGTTGAATTTAGAAGGTGGAAGAAGAAAATGTATTTTCTTCTTACATCTCTAAATGTTGCCTATATGATAAGTACTCCAAGGCCGGGTGAACATGAGAATGAGACCTTGGAAAACATTCGGGAAAGATCGAAATGGGACAACGATGATTTTATTTGTCGTGGTCATATCTTGAATGGTATGGAGGATGATTTATTTGATGTCTATCAAAATATTAAGTCGGCTAAGGAGCTTTGGGAGTCTTTAGAAAGCAAGTATATGGCGGAAGACGCTTCAAGTAAGAATTTTTTAGTTAGCAATATTAATAACTTTAAATTTGTTGATGATCGATCCATAATGGACCAATTTCATGAATTGCAACGTATCTATGGTAGCTTGGAACAACATGGAATAGCTATGAATGAATTGTTTGTTGTTTCTAGCATTATTGATAAGTTACCCCCTAGTTGGAAAAATGTTAAGCATGATTTAAAGCATAAAAAGGAGGACATGACATTGTCCGGTTTGGCCACCCATCTTCAAATTGAAGAAGGGATTCGTGCCATGGAAGGAGATAAGGATGAAAATCCTATTACATCTACTGAGAACATGGTAGATGAAGGGAGAGCTAGTGCATCTACTAGTGGAAAGAGGAAGAATAATAATTATTCCAAAGGAAAATCCAAAAAGCAAGCAAACAATAACAAATTTGCTTGTTGGGAATGCGGTAAAGTTGGTCACCGCAAGAAGGACTGTTTTTCTTTCAAGAAAAGGATGGAGAAAGCCAAGGAGGGTCGTGCTACTGATAGCAAGGACCCACCCACCAAAGGTAATCCAATTCATGAGGTTGAATTTAATTCCGGTTTGGATTTAAATGCAATGGATCCTAACATTTTTATGGTGCAGGATGATGACTCATGGTGGATTGATTCGGGGGCTTCAAGGCATGTGTGCAAGAGTAAACACTGGTTAAAAACCTTTCAAAAGGTTGTTGATGGAGACGACCTCTACATGGGGAACAACTCTACCATCAAGGTTCTTGGAAGAGGACAAGTTGAGCTTGTGTTTAATTCGGGGACTGCAATTATTCTTAGGAATGTTTTGTATGCTCTTAAAATTAGTAGGAATCTTGTATCTGGGCCTACCCTGAATAGTCTTGGCTATAAGCTTGTATTTGAAGCTAATAGATGCATAATTACTAGGAGTGTAACATTCATAGGTCGTTGTTATTTGGATAATGGTTTGTTTAAACTCTCATTGAGAGAGAGTTGTGTTATGGATGATATGTGTTTGAATGTTGTTGACAATGTTAATCAAGTTGATTTGAATTTGTTTGATTTATGGCATTCAAGGTTAGGACATGTGAATTACAATAAAATGCTTTTCATGTCAAGGAAAGAATTGATTCCTTCTTGTGATATTTCTCCTAATAAATGTTCTACTTGCATATTGAACAAGATCACTAGAACTCCTTTTAAGAGAGTTGAGAGAAGTCCTAATATTTAGAACTGATCCATAGTGACTTGTGTGATTTTCATAGTACTCCTTCTTTGGGGAACAAAAGATACATGATTAATTTTATAGATGATTTTTCTAGGTTCTGTTATGTGTATCTTTTGCATTCTAAAGATGAAGCTTTAACAAAGTTTGATATTTATAAAAGAGAAGTAGAACTGCAAGTAGAATCATTAATTAAGAGAATTAGAACTAATAAGGGAAGGGAATATTATGATCCGGCTTATTTCCAATCTTTGGGTATAATTCATGAGACAACAACGAGTTATGCACCACAATCAAATGGTGTAGCTGAAAGGAAAAACAGAACTCTTGAAGAAATGGTTAATTCCATGCTATCTTACTCTGGTTTGAGTGAAGGGTTCTGGGGTGAAGCAATGTTGACAGCTTGTCACATTCTTAACCGGGTTCCCACTAAGGGAAAACAATCTACTCCTTGTGAACTATGGTACAAAAGAAAGCCAAACTTGA